CTCCAAAACCACGAGGACAACATAATCCTGAAAAACACGGAGGGCAGTATCCTGGTCAAAATCCCGGAATGCGGTATCCTCAAAATCCCGGAATGCAGTATCCTCAAAATCCCGGAGGACAGAATCCTCAAAATCCGGGAGGACAGAATCCTCAAAATCCCGGAGTGCAGAATCCTCAAAATCCCGGAGGACAGAATCCTCAAAATCCCGGAGGACAAAATCCTGTAAAAAATCCCACAGGACAGAATCCTGTTGAAAATTCTCCAGGACAGAATCCTGTTAAAGTTCCTGGAGGGCAAAATCCTGTTAAAATTCCTGATTGGGGTGTTCAACATGGCAATCCTCCCCTAAATCATTTTCCTGATGCTTTTGTTTATGATCATTCTACCAAACTTACGACGAACCCTGACACCCAATACCCCACGACTCCTTTCAATAGGTGTGATGTGTATACAACTGTTCGAGTCCCGTGTGGAAGAGATGATATCTCTGCGGAGGCTTGTGAAGCTCTTCAGTGCTGCTATAATGGAGGCATGTGCTACTTTGGGAAGGCGGGTGAGTTGTTGAGGACCGAACAATCTCCTTAGCTTTTTTCCTTCTGTCGAGCCAGGACAAGAGGATTTTGTCATGCATCACATTTGTCTTTTGTGCTCTTGTAGTGACGGTCCAGTGCACCAAAGATGCTCAGTTTATCGTAGTGGTAGCCAGAGCTGTCACCTTACCCTCCATCGACCTGGAAACCTTTTCACTATTGGGAGATGGTCCTGGCTGCATGACTGTTGACTCGAATTCCGCTTTTGCCATCTACCAGTTTCCTGTGACCACCTGTGGCACTGTCGTTACGGTTAGATCCAATTTTTTTTGAAGCCACAAAAATGAATACTCGAGTCCCAAATCATCTCGAAACATCTCTTGCAGGAGGAGCCTGGTATGATAATCTATGAGAATAGGATGACCTCCTCGTATGAAGTGGCCATGGGACCTCTGGGTGCTACAACCCGAGACAGCAGCTTCGAGTAAGGGATTACGTACAATGTTATGAGCAATACTGTCAAATCAAAGGCTCCGTAACGATCAACCTGATGCGATTGTTCTCTTTTCAGTTTACTCTTCCAATGTCGGTACAGGGGCACTTCAGTTGAAACTATTGTTGCAGAAATTTTCCAACCGCACGAGCATCCTGCAGCAGTGTTTGCTCGGGGTCCCATCAGTGTGCAGCTGAGGTTGGGTAATGGGCGATGCCTCACGAAGGGTTGTGACGAAGGTATGTGCATGCACTCCTGGTACCCCCCGCATTGTTTGGAGACAGAAAATAATTACGGTGTATATACTCACAGAGGAAGTGGCCTACAACTCTTACTATGTGGCCGCGGACTATCCTGTGACCAGAATCTTGAGGGATCCCGTGTATGTGGAGGTTCAACTCATGGATAGGAGTGACGCCAACCTTGTCCTTAATCTCGGCCGCTGTTGGGCCACCACGAGTGAAAATCCTCACAGTCTGCCTCAGTGGGACATTCTTATTGACGGGTAAAAACAAACGATTTTCATGATGATGACATGTTTTCTCAATGTGTTGACTGAGTGTCATATTATCTGGCTGAAAGATTTTGCGGGTTCTTGGTGATCACCGAGTCCTTGCTAACCGCTTTGACCTGTTCCTTCCCCAGGTGTCCAAACAGGGATGATCGCTACACGTCTTCTTTGGTTCCAGTTGGTCCTAACTCTGGTCTGGACTTCCCAAGACATTACAGGCGTTTCAGTTTCCAAATGTTTACCTTCGTGGACCCCAACTCACTAGAACCACAAAAAGAGCAGGTAACCCGTTGTTTAGTGGCCGGCGTGCAGCCTACAAAACATCCGAACTCCGCGGTCTTATATTTGAAACAAAATCTCTTCTAACAGTGAACGACATGTTATTTTGTGCTGCGCCGGAAACGGTTGCCATTGAACAGCACATATAAAATATGCGCTGCTCTCCTTGTCCAGGTGTATATTCACTGCAGTACATCTATCTGCAACGCTGGAGCTGGCTTCTCTTGTGAGCCGAGTTGCTTAAGCCGGAGAAGTAAGGAACACAGTAAAAAAAAAAAATAAACTACCGTATATACATTGTAGATGTCAGGCTAACCATTGTTGTGTTTGTACAGGGAGAGATGCGAAATATGCGGTCAAGAAGATGGCTGAGCCAAGGATCGTGGCCTCTTCTGGACCTCTGCAGATGATTAGCACCGGGCAGTGTAAACAGAGCAGTTGCAAAGTTTTGACATTTCATTGAAACAACATATTGGTGACTTTACGTATGATATCTCGAAAGTCTGCTACAAGGCATATGCGTCAAATCTAAAAATGCAATGAGAATAAAATGGATTCCTCAAATGCCTGTAAGCAAAACATATAAAAAAAAGTGCTTTTATGTACAATGAATGCTTATATTTTGTGTCCTGCAATACTTTATGCACTGTAAATAATATAGCAGAATGAACAATTGTAATTCAGCTGAACTGATTGTATATCATTTTGAAATCCCAAAACCACGTTGCTCTCAGCAACAGTCAAATTGAATTAAACGGAAACAAGAACATCTAGCAATTTTTTTATGCTATCAAAAATAAAATGCTGCCTTTTCTACCCCAATTGTCACTGTGCAAGTTATCCAGACTACCTGTATCAAAGAAAAAAATAAAAGCTTGCAAATGTTTCGTCTGCATTTCACCAACAAATCCATCCAATCCTTCACAATTTATTGTAGTAATGTTTACTTTTCCATTTCTTGATTCAAATGTAGTCAGAAGATTTTTTTTGCCAACATGATAGTTAACATTTGAACAATAAATGCCCCCAAAAATGTGTTTATGTCTCGTGCGGAACATGAACAATGACCTCGAAAACAAAATGGAGGAGCAGGTACATTTGAGTTCAGGGTTGGTTTAAGTTTCTAGACTTACATAACTGACAAAAATGACATGACTCACATGCCCAACTGTTCCATGTTTCGGTGCATTTTACACAACTTGCTGTGCACCAACACTTCCGTGTCTTTCTGTGACTCTTCCTGTCTCTCCGATGCTAACACTGTGATTTGCCGCTTTGAATCATGAATGGACCAATAAATGTCTGAGCTGAATTAGAATTAAACAAATTAAACAATCCCCCTTCATTTTGCTTTTTGCATTTTTGACATCACAAGTCCGAGATGACACCGAACAATTGGGCAACACAACATCATCATTACAAAGTTTCAAACAAGATGTTCTCGCAGGGAAAGAGGCCACTGAGTGTCACCGTGTCATCAGCAGGCTGCTCCAGAGAAACCGAAAGAGTCACAGAAAGGCATGAGGTGTGATAACCTTGTCGACGTTTTGGTCCGACACAAACGTGTTGTGAATTGTCCCATTGTGGGCCGTGTTCAAGAAACAGCAAGTTGTGCAAAATGTACTCAAAAATTAAAAGGTTGGATACGTGGGCAGGGGGACATTGAAGTTCATGGGTCGAGAAAATGCTAGATGAATGTAAATAAAGGATGTAGAGCACTTGAGTCATCCTCAAATTTTACCCGAATATTTCAAGCTTGCATGACTAATTGAAATAAAAACATGGAACAAAAAAAACCTGATCCTCAATTATTGATTTGCATTCATGGCTGATTGTCTCGCTGGTGATTTTCAAGTGCATTTAGGATTTGTCTTGTGCAGCCCGCAGTTCAAAATGAGACATGGACATTTTATTGGATCACTTGACTACCAGGTGAAAAGAAAAGGCTTCCCTCCAGAACAAACCACGGTACAGTCTCTTGGAGTTTATAAACACGCCGTTATACTGAACAGAAAGTGAATACAAAAAGCAAAGAACAACACATTCACATTGATTGCTTGAGTCCCATATTGCTCATCGCCTTGCTGCCTCGACCTGGCGATATCTGATGCCAACTCTCAGTGTGATCAACACCCCGGGCGGTGTGCTTTCGCTCTCCTCTCGCCGTCAGTCGGATTTGTCCTTCTTTTTGCCTCCTCCGATCGGAACTCTGCTGACCACGGCCGAGCCGACCGCCGTCACGCCGCCGGCGACGGCGCACACTCCTCCTTTGACAAGGCCCACTCCGGCCGCGGGCACGGCGGCCACGGAGCTGACGGCCGTCTTGGTGAGATCCAGGCTTTTTCCTCCCACCCAGGTCACGCCGCCCACGGTAGCTTCCACAGCCCCTTTGGTGACGCCATACAAGCCCCCCGCCAACCTGCCCAGCATGCCCGTCTGGGTTGGAGGGTGCTCTTTGAGGGTGTCTGGTGGATAAATGTGACATGTGAATGATACGCAGTGGTGGACAGTCAAGGGCCAGCAAGGCCTTATCTGCGGCCCTAAAGGCTATCAGAACCTCTGACCAACATTTACAACCCCAACATTTGTTCGATTAATTTATTACCAACAGAAGATAGGGTTTTTCATTCACAGATTTTTTTTTCTTGGCTGCACTGCTTCCACTAGTGGATGTGGGTGTTAGATCCCTCCATCAATTTTCTAATCTGCTTCTCCTCACGAGGGTCGCCGGCGTGCCGGAGCCTATCCCAACTGTCTTAGGCAGTAGGCGGGGTACTCCCTGAACTGGTTGCTAGCCAATCACAGGACACACGTAGACAAACAACTATTCAGGCTCGCAACCACACCTACGGACAATTTAGAGTGTTTCATCAGCCTGCTATGCAGATTTTTGGAATGTGGGAGGAAACCGGAGTACCCGCAGGAAACCCACGCAGGCGCGGGGAGAACATGCAACTCCACACAGGAAGACCAGATCCGGAATCGAACTCTATACCTCTGCACTGTGAGGCCAATGTGCTAACCAGTTGTCGACTGTGTCGCCCGGGTGTTAGATTTTTTTAATTTATTTTTAGAGAATCAGATTTTGGCCGATATGTGCAGCCATGTCAATCGAAACTGCCCAAGGCCTTAATAATCAGTAATGCTGGCCGATGTTACAATGGCCGTGTTCGGAAACACTCCCTAGCCACTAAATAGTGCCCTAATTAGTGAATTCACTCCAATTTTTGCTTAACTTTCAGTTGCACAAGAATAAAAAGTGGGAAATTGATGCAATTTTCTTCTCTTGACCATGAAAATATTCAAATGATATATGTTAGTTTAACATTTTTTAATCACGTGCAACTGATGTACACGTCAGAATTAAATGGAAGTGTGGCGCTGCCATGAAGGAGGAAAAATATTTTGACTGGCAAATACATTCAAACCTACTTGAGAGTACGTTCGAATGTACTTGCAAACAGGTCCGAGCAAACTTGGAGGCTAAATGGTACGTTTGTAGCATTTTCCTCTAATGCCATGAGGTATTGACTGGCATTTTGGTATTGGTGTGATGACTGATAAATCTTGAAACCAATACCAAAACGTTTAAAAATTAAGTAATTCAACAATGTTAATTCTTCTCCTTATGGTTTTATTATCTCTGCAGTGCATGGTTTACATTTGGCATTCTTCCCATGACACCACAGGCTATTTATTGACTTTTGCATGTGCATCCCCCATAGCGTTATGTGGGGGGGGGATGAAATATTTTCTAATCACACCAATACATTCAAAAATTAAGCAAGTAAACATTGTTTATTTTTGATTTTATAATGTCTGCAGTGCCTGATTTACGTTCAACATTTTTTTCTGGTAGTCTGGATGCCACAATTTCACGTGTGGGCCTGGCACGTTAAGAAAAAAATAAAATCAGTTGAAATGTTAAATATTGTGTGTGTGACATACAAATACATAGTCTTCATTCACTGACCTGAATCTATTGGCTCATCATTAAGGTTAGCAGGTGTACCCTCAAGCACCTGCTCTGCCTGACTCATCTCTGTGGGGGGAGAAATAATGGAAATAGTTACAAAAATATCAATTAAAATAGATGCACTCCAACAGTATTATCAAGGAACAAACCGTCGCAACAATAGAGCACAGTGGCGGTTTTTGAGCAGATGTGTGCTTATTACGAGACTCTGGACAGAAAATTAAAATAATATTCCCATGGCATTTAGGGGTAACTTTCATTATGTTTAATTGGTTTGATTATGGATCGGTCAGTTGAAAATGTCTCCAAAAATGTCAGGTGTGCATAAGTTGAACTTCGATGAGTATTTAGTGTTTTTGTCCTCATAAATTGGGCAATTCGGCGCACTGGTAGAATGACCATGGCACACCAGTAAACAACTGTGTCCTACTACCATTTCTAGTGCCTACTAGAACGCAATTCGACTTAACAAGGAAGCTACTGTGCTAGTAGTTTTAAAGAGATTTTGGTCGCTCCAGTTTTGCCTCACATGTAACATCTACTTGTCCTACTAGAATGAGAAAGTTGTCCAGAAATGCCAAACAGAGGTAGAAAAAAAATTGCAAGCGTAACATGGGACTTCAAATGGACATTAAAGGATTTGGAAAATCAAACAGCTTAAAACTGCGAAGGTTAAAAAAAAAAAAATAAACGAAGAGTTTGTTCTGGGTTGTGCTGCTGTTCCACAAACAAGGCAGACCTGTTCACTGCAAATACAAAGACAACTTGCACAGCAGGACCTGTAAACTGCAACGAGGTGTGGACCTGTGGCAAGCTATTTGAAGTAACAACATCGCAAAGCACGACACGCCGTAACTTGTTGACATAAGTACGGACGCGACGTGGCAGTATGGAGCGAGGATTTAAAAACGATTATTTGACAGCATCGCACGCTAGCAAAGCGGCTATAACCCACGAGAGCTTAAGTTTGGTTAACTACGGCAACCTCAAGTGAAACACAACCACTTGCGATGTCTGCACTCGTGTTTGCAAAGAATTTAATTTGATTTGTAGAATATTATGTAGCTGGATGAATTGCATGGTTTTATTTGCCTTCTTTCGAATATTCTAGGTTACGCAGCGAGACACGTCACTTCGCTCCTGGTGAACAACAGCACCCCCACCAAATCGAGAAAAACGCATATCATGTTTTTATTTATCAGTATTATTATTTATGTTCGTGTAATGCACCAATAATAAATGCATATCTTGTAGGTTTTAGCGCGTTTTTACACAAACTCGTACGGTTTTAGGAACAGCGGCTGTTATGGCTGACATCTTGCAACAAACTCCAGTAAGTTGACACAATATGGCAACTTACCTGCTATTTTTTGCACCCTTTGACACAAAGAATCGACTCCCAAAATTGTGTTAAAATAATAAATAATGTGTGAATTTGTGCGGTTGGCGACTGAGAGACTGACCCGACTCAGTCGGTTGTTTTTTTTCTCGGAGGATGAGATAAGGCTCCACCCCCTTGCATTTAGTGTGATTGTTTTCTCTCTCGCTTCTTTTTCGTTACACTTTGGTTCGAGTGAAAGTTCTGTAAAAGAACTTGAACATTATTAAAAAATGTCTCACTTCTTTTTAAAATAAGGATATTTGGTACATATACAGGAGACAAATTGTTCACTGTTTATGAGAGAGTTTATAAAGAGAAAAAATATACAAACGGAAATCACTCATTTAATTGATCATGATTTTTTATTCTGTTTTGTACTTTGCACATTGATATTTCAGCACAAAACAACATTACAAAACAAACAAAACATGGAAAACGGAAACGCTATACCACGTGACACGAGCCCCGTTTTTTTTTTTTTTTTTTTTCCCGCCAGTGTTTGTATTGGCTTCGTGAGTGTCCGGAAGCGACCGCCGAGATGACACTTACGTGCTTTTACGACACGGTTTGGATCTTGTTAATTTAGTCCCCCGTTTTTTCCTCACCTAAACAAATTATTCTACGCCATCACAACATCCCCGTCTGTTGGAATCTCGGAAGTTCTGCTCTGCTGGAGACAAAAGGTATCTAAAATCGTTTTAAATGTATGTTTCTGTCACCAGAACTGTAAGCTTCACCAAGCTGCAACTAAGCACTCTTTGTCATGTACGTGTTTCTTGTTAATATACGATTCAAACGGTCCGTTGAGCAGTTTCATATGCTGTTAAAGGGGTCAATATATTTGTCATTGTTTAGGAAATGAGTAAACAACAAGAAGTACTTTGTGTATCCACATGCAATTACATCCTGATTACAGCAGGTGGCACTCTAACCCTTTCCAAAGGCATTATTGCTCAGAAAATTATACGAATGGTCTCCGGTTTACGATGAATTTCATTCGTCAGGCTGCGACGTAACCCGAATTTGTACGCCAGGAACGCGTCGGAGGAGTCCTTGATCAACAGAACCAACTCGGAGTAAGAAAAATGTTCTAAGGAATCAATATAACACAAATTAAAAATCCTAAATACGGCGATTACTGTGATGCTTGTTTTTACGTTGCATCATATTTATTTTGGAGATTGGACTGAATAGAATAAAAAAATATTTAAATGACTTTACAAACTGGGATAAAAGTGCATGTAGATACAACGAGAAAAAATATCTTCTTCTTCCAGTAAGTCTTGGAAATCAGACATTTAAAAAATCTCAAACTTTGGTAAACACACTGGTAAAAAAAAAAAAACCAGATTAAATATGAGTGATGTTTTTTCCTGATTTAATTTTGTAAAATATTTATTTTTAAGGTATTTGAAACTTAACTTGTTCTTTGGTTTTATTATTTTATGTTAAATGTTCTGTACAGCGCTTTGTTACAGCTGCATCTGTTCTGAAAGTGCGAAATAAATCAAGATGTATTGTATTGTATTTAAAATAACATGTTGAAAACCAAGAACAAATAACCAAACATTTCTTATTTATTATCTGTATTTCAGAGCCCCTTTTTCAATCGAGGGCCACTTCATCGTGTGTACATGCTAAAACTATTCAACGCACTGTATTGTCAACATATGCTAAATTAAATTTATTTCAAGAAAAAAAAAATCTCAGTTTAGGGTTACCGGGATTAAAGTTTAAAAAACAAATAATTTTGTAATTGTGTGATATCTTGTAGTGCAGTGTAATATCAAGCATGACACTTTTATTACATTTTAATTCATAAATAGTGTGCCATTTTTCAACAAATTATAAATTAAGGCCATTCTGAGGTTCACGTGTCAGCATTTTGCGGTGCGACAAAAGACAGCTAACAGAGAAAATAGCCAGTTGGCTTGTTGTCCCATTTCTACCTATTGAAGGCCTCAGTCGTATGGAGCTGGAAGTGGAGCTAGAAGGAGCGTCCTCAGTGGGGTAACGGGGGGACAACAGTCATTAGTCGTCGTCCTTCCCCGGTGTGACACCAGCCAATATGCTAACACAAATTAGCATGCGCGGCTTTGTGTCAGTGGAGGGCCACACAAAGGCACTACACACGCTGATGTGTCATTAGCGAGCAGGTGGGGAGGCAAAACATTGAGCTGTTGCCTCTCTGATCAAGTGATGAAGAGGTTTCCACGGCGACCAAGCTGTCTGTTGCCATCGCTTGTTTTGTGGCGGGGGCGGGGGGCTAAAATGAGTGCATGGGTTAAACGCTAAGGACAAGCACCGCCCAAATGAATGGGAATTGTACCAAAGACGATGATATGACAAAATATACGGTATTTATTAGTTTTCTGTCATTAGATAATTTCACATATGTCACCAAATAATTTATCTTATGATACATAATGTCTACGATTGGCTAGCGTGTAGCCTGTCGCTCGGCTGAAATCAGCTGGGATAGGCGCACCAACGGCCCAAATGTGTATAAGCAATTTAGAAAGTGGGTGGATGGATATATAATATTTTACGGCCTCTGTAGCCGCTTTTAGTTCTGGAATGCTGCAACTTGGCACACTTTCCTTTACAATCTAACATAAACGTCAGCTTTACAGATTCCACGGCTGGGCTGCGTGCTAGTAGCAGATGTCACGGAAAAGGTGAGCCAGCTGATCATTTTTTCCCAGTCTTATATGAGGTGCAGCATTTACTTATTTATTCAGACAACACGTCTGTCAGTCATATTTGAAGAAATATAGATTGCAAATTCACCCGATTGGACAAATGTAGTTTTCATAGCACTTGTGGACGTTTTTTTTTTTTTGATCAGTGATTCACAAGCAATGTTCCGTGAGAGATCACCAGGTCAGATGTGCACTAAAATCATGTTAGTATGCAAATTACGTACTACAAGTTTAGTTCAACAGTCCCAGATGAGTAAGCAAATTAGCAAGTAAATTTCGATGATGTCATCATTGTAGTAGGTACTTTTGCGGCTTTTTTGAAATTTTGATGGGGCGTGAGATTTTTCGAATGTAAAATATATGCCTTGGCTCAATAGAGGTTGGCGAAACATTTGTTCTCCAGTCGACCTTTTGTGTGCTGCTTTTGTAATAACGGGCCGACAAATCACACTGTTGATGCAACATTAGCAACATGTGCTCGTTTTTACACTGACCTGATTTGCTCTTTGTCCGAGTTGGAGTCGGAGTCCCTCCCACTGAAATTGTAAAAGGATTATCTTTTTTTTTTTTTTTTTTTGAGAAGGGGGGGTGGAGGGGGTATAATGGTGAGCACTGGAGTGTGCCCACTGTTGTGCGGGGGTCCTAATGAGATCACCGCAGCCCTCATGTGAGCAGCGACACCGCTGGTGGTCCGGTGCTGCGGCACACTGAGGCCACAACGGGCCTTCGACTTCTCCACCGTGAAGAGCAAACTGTGTGAAAGGCTAAACAAGGGAGGGGTGGGCTTAAGGGGGGGTGGGCGTGGGGGTCACTCAAATCCTTTTTAAAGGAGCTTTTGTCATTTATACAAGGATTCGTTCTTTCATTTAAGAACGATAAGAGCATTTTCGATCATGGTTAGGCCTTCTCTCGCCAATGCGACTGATGTTTGACTTCCCGGACACCCGGTGAACGTGCTTGACTTGGGGCAAAAGCTTGAAGAGATTTTTTTTTTTTTTTTCAGAAAAAAAAAGCATGCTGTTCTCTCCTCCATTTTCACTTTATTAAGTAAGTAGGCAGCTGATTTATTGCCTGTACTCAGCGGCAGTGTCTGACAGAGAAAAGGCTACACAAAAGACGACCTCGGCATCCCGCTGATTTTAATAGTTCTTAAGGATGTGTTCCAAAAAAAAAAAAACTATTGCCTTCTCAAATGAGTCCAAGAAGATTTTCCTTCCTTAACAGCAATGCACTCTGCATTTGATTTAAAAAAAAAAAAAACACGCTGATGCAAACTTGCTTGAGCATTTATTTCATATCCGCCTTGAGTCCAAATACACTCTTTATCCGCACTAGTATTAATTGTGGAAACTCGGTTGCGCTCGTCGAACAACGTTCTTACTAACCCGTTTGTTTGTCTATTGCTCAATGACATTTCTACACACTTGTCGAACAACTTCCAACTAGGTTACTGCTGAGGCAAAACCGCAGCAGGTGACATCTGCACACTACTAATACTACCAGTGAAGCGCTGAGTACTCTCATAGTATTCGTAGCACTGAATTGTTAAGTAACGCACAGTTTGGCCTCCCCCGCAACATCGAGTGGTCTTAGTAGTACTATATGCCAAAGTTGTTGAACGACCGAGGACAAAAAATGTACTAGTACATGATAAATGCTCTTAGGATTTTCTATAATCGCCTTGATTTGAGGACGGGCCTGTGAAGTATCCATGGAGGGGGGCTCCTGTACTCTTGTCGTGGCCTCCAGGGGGCGCTAAGGGGCCACTGGAGGGGAGAGGCAAAGGCCTTATCTTCGGGGCAGTCGACTTTTCTGGCTTGTAGCTCCTTTTGTGTGCTCCCTCGCTGATCACTCATTCCTCTCGGCCCGCAATAGCTTTGGAAACGAAGACCCCCCCCCCACCTCCTCCTTCCTCCCTGTGCGCCTCTGTTCTCTCTTTATTGAATCCCGCCTCTGTATCATTTATCTCTGCAGTCCCTGCTCATATAGGGAAGGGGGGGGGCATCTTTTTCTGTTCCCCAGCTGGGTTTGTTGACACATGGTCAATCTTTTTTTTTTTTTTTTTGGGTGGAACAGAGTCCACCCCCTCAAAAAAAAACCCCCCCTCACCCCCCCCCCCCCCCAGCTAACCCCTCCACTTTTCCCTGAACAGTAAAGATACCACAGCTGTGGACTGTATTAGCGTAGCTTCTCAGAAGTGAGGCCGTGGGTAAAGGTGGCGTCACGATGGAAAAGAGGGGGTGGCGTTTGCTTAATATATTGCAGCCATTAGCTTTTGTTCAACAGTTGGAGGTTTTAAAGCATGTCAGAGTGCTGAGGGAGATCACGCAAGAAGGGTTGATTCCACGTTAACAGCTTTCTAAATATGGCCTGAGAGGAATGAGTGTGCCGAGGAATACCTAAAGGTCATCACCCATAAGATTGTTCATTCAAGCTCTGACTTTGTTGAGTTCACAGACTGATTGATGGCAAGTCGTCAAATTCACCACCGTGCTCATCCCACGCACTAGAAGGTGTAGTTTTGTCTAGAACAGGGGTCCCCAACCTTTTTTGCCCCACGGATTGATTGATGGCAAGTCGTCAAATTCACCATCGTGCTCATCCCACGCACTAGAAGCTGTCGTTTTGTCTAGAATACAGTGCTGCCATGATTTACGAGTTGAATTTATTTTGTGACAAAAATCGTAACTCAATTCACAGTAAATCCATATCCCCATTGAAATGAGTTGAAAGGCCAGTAATCTGTTCCAGCCAACCCAAAGTTGTAGAAATTGTTGCACCTTTTCTATTGAAGACGACCCCCTATTGTATAAAAAAAATGATAAGGGTTATGAAGCAATAGGCTGGTTTTATAAAGTGTAATTATTGTATGCTGGGAAAAGTCACTACAACAGGAGTGGTGTGCAGTATGTGTGCCTTTAAGGGGCGTGACCCTGTGAGCGGCGTCAGTTACGTGGCCGCTTAGTCTTCTCTTCTCACGAGCATCTGGATGTGAGTTAGTGCCGATCGACTGAGAGAATATTTTTTTCCTCAATATTTTGATTGCAATTTATGATGCCGTTATTTCTTCAAGGTCCTCTTCTCATGTACTTTTGATAAAACTATTACAATTAGAGATGTGGCGATTAACGCATTAATTGAAATTTGTTTACCGAACTAAAACTCAATCATCTATCAGAGTAATTTCTTAGAAGAACCACTAGAACTGACCGAATTGATCCGAAAATAGCCGCTTTGAATGAAACTGGCAGCTTTCCTCCTTTTCAGGCGTGAGTTGTGTCATTTTGTTTCATTACTTTCTCAAGGTACCAGGATGAAAAAGTCCAAGCCCGATGAAGATAAAAGGTCCCCGCGGCCGACGCTCGTGCGAACAACACGCAGTTCCAGAAGCGCCGAGTCTCAGGACTCTGGCCTGGACCAGTACGGGAAACAGCGCAAGAAGCAGTCTGACTCGGCCCTGGCCCAGGACCTTCGTCAGATGAGCGTAAGTGGGCAGAGAGGCCCAACTTCGAGGTGGGAAACCGTTTGATTGCTTCAGAATCAGATTAGGACATTATCTGTTCAAACTCCCAATTGTGTTGTCTTGGCCTGCACAGTGATGAAAAGCAGTTAGGTGAGCGTCAGAAAGCTCCCCCTGTCGTCAAATCCGGTTGCGGTCTTGCCTCCGTGGCCCGCCTGATCAAGCTGGGTCGCTGTAAGAACGTGGTGGTGGTGACCGGAGCTGGAATCAGCACCGCCAGCGGAATTCCCGACTTCAGGTTTGTGTTCTGGCCCATCTTTTCTGTCTTAAATTGATTGCCTTCTCCCTTCAACTGGCTACCGTCTTCTGTCAGAACTCCCGGGACGGGCCTTTACGCCAACTTGGAAGCATACAACGTTCCCTACCCGGAAGCCATTTTCAACGTGGACTATTTCTCCAACGACCCGCAGCCTTTCTTTTCTCTTGCCAAGGCGCTTTATCCCGGCAGTCACAGACCCAACTACATCCACTACTTCATCCGCATGCTGCACCACAAAGGCCTGCTGCTCCGCGTGTACACGCAGAATATCGACGGCCTGGAGAAACGTAAGTGACAAATGCGGAAATACAGTTGAGCTTCTCTCCAGAAGGCGACAATAAACTAGACAGCGGTGGTCAGGGCTTTTCTGGTTGTCGAGATGCCTTTTCTATCGCGACATGTTCAACACCATTTTTTAGATTTGATCTCACCGGCCTTGTTTGATTCTGAAGTCATGGTTGTCTGCTTAGTGTGTGGGATCCCGGATGACAAATTGGTCGAAGCTCATGGCAGTTTTGCCACCGCTTCCTGTCACCTGTGCTACACGCCGTACCCCGCAGAGGAAGCAAAGGTGTGTTTGAACCCCCGCAAACACATTTCAGTAGCACGCCTGCCCGCTTTTGACGTCGGCGGCGTTCGTCTCCTAGCGTGCCATCATGAACGGCGACATCCCCACATGCACGTTCTGCGCCGCCACAGTCAAGCCCGACGTGGTCTTTTTCGGCGAGGACCTTCCGCAGAAGTACTTCCTCCACGCCAAAGACTTCCCCAAAGCCGACCTGCTCGTCATCATGGGGACCTCGCTACAGGTGCTCAGCGGCGTCCGCGGAGCTCTCACTCTCCAGCGTTACTGAATTCTTCACAAATGCTGTTTCAGATCGAGCCTTTTGCCAGCCTGGTAAACACGATGCGGTCCACGGTGCCACGTCTGCTCCTCAACCGGCACGCCGTGGGCCCGTTCCAGAGGGTCCCGCTGCGCAGAGGAGACCACATGGAACTGGGCGACCTCGAGAACACGGTGCGGAGGTTCGCTGAAATGCTGGGCTGGAACGACGACATCGTGGAGTTGATGAGGAGTCAGGAACAAGAGGTTGGTTGGCTCTCAAATAAAAACAATGACTCGGGTGTCCAATTTGTGACCGCAGCACATGATCCTCACGTAAGGCCACTTTAAAGATTGTCAACTTACTCTAGATTGCGATTTTTAGTTCTGAATGAGGAAAGGTGATTTGGTGGCTACTCAGTGCTGGGGCACCCCACAATCCCGGAAAAAAAAAAAAAAAAAAAAAATTTAAGAAATCTGTGATGGAGCACTTTTACCAAAATAACTGTCATCAACATATACAGTATAAATAACGAACATTGCTTCATGTATTAGTTTAAGTGTATTTTATAAATAAAAATGTGAATGTCAAATTCTGAAGCAAGGGACCAAACTGATGCGATCAAATCCATCCTCTCAGCAGCACGTCCCGATGCTGGTCGGTAACGGAAGCGGAAGTGGCTGCAGCGGCGGCGAGGAGTCAGACTCGGAGACAGACAGCAAGTGCTCGGCGTCGTCCTGCCCGAGCAACTGACAGTGGGAAATTTTTGACACTCGTCATGTTTGACTTTTGACGCTTGTTTGCCTCCATGTGTCATGTTTGCACGAGTCTACTTCAAGCACACAAATCCACTGAACTTTTTCATACAATATAAACACAGTTTTAACCAATATTTAATAAAGCCTGTTGAGTAATGAGCCCAAACTGACTTGTTTTTAATGTTTTTTTAATTAAACCCAGTTTTTTTTTCATTTCAGTGATATGTTCACTCAATAAAATAAAAATTGTGAAGTTTACATCATGGGAAAGTGTGCAAAAAGACACATTCTCCCCCAGGGGGAAAAAAAACATACATACCAAATTGAGGGATATGGCATGCAATATGAATGAGTTGAAGTATGCAGGGAATTAGACCTGGCGTTCACCATCATCGAAGTCCACTGGATGAAAGGAATGTTTCGAACTGAGTACTGTTAAGTCCCTTCAAAGCAGTGCTGAACAAAACAGAAGTTACATGGGTAACTTTCGTTTTCGGCCTACTTTGCCCGAAATTAGGTTTAGAAATTACAGCGGGACCCTTGACTTCAGAGTTGATCCTTTCCCTGATTGGGTGCATAAATCCATTATTTTTAAATTTCAAAGCAATTAAATTCAACTCGCGATGAACAATTCAAATGGATCACAATGTAGCAGAAGTAAAGATTCAAATTGAAATCAATTTGAAAATTCATTTTCAAATCAATAGCCTGCAATTTCAGGTGCCGGGCCTCTTCAGTTGGTCGACTTTATTATGTATGCATTCAGTGCTTTGGGAATATACAAGATTTACATATATTAGAGTTGGAGTGATAAATCCACAGATGTGTTTGGATTGTTATCTGATTTATGATTTACTCACTTCACAAAATTGCAATTACATTTCAAAATCTTTCAGACCTAAAACCTACATACTCTTGTTTTTCAACACAATTACAGTGCATACTGTAGTATTTGTGTGTTGGATGTGTACCTTCAAGGCGCATGGCCTAGTGAGTACCGTCAGGAGCTGGACTGGTTGGCTGGGTCGCCTGCATCGGAGCATCGATGTGAGTTGTGGCCTACAACAGCTCCTTGCGATTGTTATTTTGTATTTGACGGTTTTTCCCCCCAAACATGTATCAGCTACTGCCGGTTCTCTTTGGCCACATGCGAGGCCATTTCAGTGTACCAGTGATTCACCACCCCCATGTAAGTCAAGATACCACTGTCTTGGTAAATATTGAAATAAAAATTATATTTTCTTTACAGTAACACAGAGCACGTAGGAGGTTAACTGATGTGCAACACGCTAATAAGCGCAAAGCCACGAGGTTTCCTTTGCGCTTCAAAACTGTTCAGAGCGACACTTTCCAAGTTTTTAAATATACCTCGAACCCGAGCAGGTCTGTCCCACTCTCACTATAGACCTCATGCGTTAATTTAGGCCTATGTGCGAATACAACAACTGGGGGAAAAAAAATATGGAGCAGGAAAAAGTACTACAAACAAACAGGACTGATGACGGAATGATTGATTGCCATTCAAACTGACTATTGTTTGAATAAGTCCTCAACTTAAGAATGAATAAACCAAGCATATAAAGAAAGAAAAAGGTGCAACAGTAAGGTCTCTTCAGCGTCTCGGGAGACTTCAGCAAAGTGCTCCCGAACCAAGACCCGCGCCATTTTAGCTGCATTGGCACACTGCAGGGGCTGGATCCTTTGGGGCAGGAGTACTTTGTACAACTGCTTCCTCCATGGGATGATTGGGAATGACAGGTTCAGTGTGACTTGAGTGACCATTTTAACGCCTCACTTGTGTGCTTTCGCTGGAATTGAGTTGGCCTGATTTAATGGCGGTCAAGCACACTTGCGACTGCCAGTGTATTAGAAGCATATTGAGCTGAGGAGTGAAATTTCCGAATGAGCCTCGAGTGCAATCGAACCTTTCCTGGTGAACATTTTTTTTCTGTCCTCTCTGTTGTATTGGGGTCTGCAATCATAAATATGAAACAATATTTACAATGGCAAATACTTATAATACTACTAATACAATAAAAATGACATCATCTCATCTGTAATGTCACAGAAATAACCCGACATTTTGCTACCGTGTTTGTTCTGAACACGGACAATGTGTAATGTGCTTGGCTCTTATTGGTCACGCATTAATTACATTTATAGTAAGGGCAACATACTTATACTAAAGAGGAATCCGCCTTCCATGAGGTGGTCTGAAAGATCCAGCACTTGAAGTGTGACACAGCTTTGTTTTTTTGTGTGCGTGTGTTTTCTTTCACTGGGCTCCGCCCCCGCCCACTACCTTGCCCACATTCCGACCGTAATGCTCTAATCAGAGTCTGATCCGGCATCGTCTCCAGGCGGCGCATGCAGTGTTTCTTCCAGGGGTGCTAACGTCCCATCCGGCTTGACTCCCATGGGACGGATCAAACTCTGCCTGCGCACACAAACAAACATTGCTGACTCGTGAGTCGGTCTTCCAAATTGAACCCGCACTGTGACGCTTCATTTGAGCAGTTGTGAGAGGTGGCAAAAATGTACTGTACTCCAGTAGATTTTCACTTAGATGTATGTACTTTGGGTGTTTCTGTGTTTCTTTATCAGACTTTTTATATTTTATATATTCTACTTGGTCGAAATAGGCTTGATTTGATGTAAAAAAAAAGATGTGCATAAAGAGTGATAAAGGCGTTCGTGGTTGTGATCTCAATTCATTTTTTTTTCATTTTTACTTTTCAGAGTCTCCCACTCCCCCCTTGCACACTTGTCCATGTCACAGTCCAGACAACCCCTCACCCGCTTGCCCACCACCCTCCTCCTCTCCTCTCCTCTCCAGTGGCAGTTTAATTACAGGATCAGCACTGAGGCTAATCTCCTCAAAGCCACGACTGCCCCTTCATCCTAATCCAATTAGACCTCCTCTGTGTGTGTGCGTGCTTGCGTCAATGCGTGCGTGCCTGTCGCCACTCCCTCTAAAAAACGACTCCGCTCACAGTTGTCTCTGAACAGACTTCACTTTTAGTTTTACACCCTAGAGCGTGGTCACCGACCAATCGCAAGGCAAATAACCATTTTATAAAACCGTGAAATGTGCTACCACAGTTCCTTGACAAGCCGAGGCGATTGCTCTAAGACTGCAAGGGAAGCTCAGCTTCCCCTAAAATGTCAAAAAGTAAGTGATCAAATCTATGTGTGTATGTACAATTGTGTGGACATGTCATTGACTAAATATAAATAACTTTTGTTCCGAATCAGCTTCTTATTACTGGTTACGACGCGACTCTCTTCTCATTCATTCCCACAGCTTCACTGTGCTTTAAAATGTGTGGACGCTGAACATACGGTACAACTGAGTACAGAGGTGTACAGGATGACCGAAGTACCCACACAGCCCGTATTAGGGAAGAAAGTGGAACATCTCTGTCAACCAATACAATGCGGCTCCACCTGCGGCTTCTTGTCATATCCACCTCACCTGCAGCTTCCGCTGGATTCATTGCAAAAAAAAACCTAAACAAGGTCTATTTTACAGCACAACCCCAATCCCGACATGTTTTCAGTTCAGGTCGGCAGTCGTCAACCGCTTTCAGCCATCTGGCGGTACCCTTGTGCCTAATCTTTATAAACATTATGAAAAGGTTGATTAGAAACCTCTTTTATAATGATAAAGTACAGTCGGCAGCTCGGTGATGTCACTGATTCCAAAAGTGAGGCCTAACGAGATGTTTACCCGTAGAACCGCGGAGCGTCATCTCCACCCCGCAATTGACGACGACGCCGAAATGCACAAAAGGCGTGCAGGTGGAGTATGTGCTAATTGGAGGAGCAGTTAAGCAGTTAGCGGAGGACATTCTTTCAGGGGTTGATTCATCCCCTTAGAGTCGTGTGTTCTGGAGTCGCAGCACCCGCGATGAAAGAAAAGGGGAAGAAGTTCTCGGAAAGGAATTTTCCTCTTTTAAGGGGGCACGCGTGCCTCATTACGCCATCAGCCCTTGTGACAATGGCCAGGCCGGCACGTTTGTTCAGCCTCTTCCACACAAGAATAAAGTCAGGACACTCACTTTGGTTATTAAAAACATGAATAGAAACCTGCGCGACAGGTCTGCTCCGTTAACCAATTAGGTGGAGCCTAATTAACGAGGCCCTAATAACGGCGTCCATTTCACTCCCCGTGTGCTGCTCCCGACTAATTGACGCAGAGGAGATTCTTGCTCAGGCGACCCTGTTGGCAGGGGGAGACGAGACGGGCGTTTGGGATGCGAGCGCAGCAAAGGTCAGTGCTAATATACATCACGGTAGCTCGATGCTGCTTCTTGTTAAAATGTTAGAACGCTGAATAACCGCCTGTCAACATCTTTATGCGGCTAACGCGTGCAGGGTTGTACAAAACAAAACAAAAACATGCCGCAAAGCCTGCACTGCCTGCCGGCATATTAAAAGACCTCGGTTAAGCGTATCATAGGCGTGTGGGTTTTGGATTGTTTTTGTTTTATGTGTTTTTTGTTTTTACTTGAGACGCTGAATGGACAGCTACGACTTTGTTTTGTGACTTTACGAACACTTTTAACACTCCCTTACTTTAGTTCTATGACTTATTAGCTTCGTGAGTTATGTGAGGAACTATTTACGCTGCGTGTGAGCACCAAAGTTATTATAGTTAGTGAAAAGAAACAAACTAAAATTGGAAAAACATTTTCATCAACAAAATAGTCTTTATAAAAAAAAAAAAAAAAAATTTAAACGCGCTAACTGACAAACTATGTTTCCAAAACTAAGTGAAACTGACCATGGCTTTTGTTTCCATTTTTGTCAATAAATTTCATACATAAGCTTTTGGCATTGATTTTAAATGTATTTATTCCGGTTTTACAGCAGCTGTACTGTATTTTATTTGTGGATTGTTTTTCATCTGCTTATTCTTCTTAAAATGACAAATTTCATTAAGGGTTTTTTTTTTGTACTACATGATTTACTCTGACTTTACCCCATATTTTAAAACCTAAAGCTACCTAATAAACTGAACTGAAAAGACAAATAAAAACTATCTCACTGTAAAAGTGAATTCAAATGAAAATAAAATTCCAAATGAAAAAATTGATTACAACCCCGGCGAGCCCCTGGCTCTGAATTGTTGGTCTACGACAGCTCCGTACGAATGTTGTCATTTTGAATTTGACTCTTCTCTTCACATAAACAACTAAACATGGTTGCCGTGGTTACCTTGACAACTTGTCCAGCATGTTGACAAGCTTCTGGGCCTCGTACTCCTTCTGCTCCTCGGTCATTTCCTCCATGGGGTTCGGCATGGGCTCCTCCACATGACCAGTGATGGGGTTGATGCTGAGAATTGAACCGAAAATTTTAGATTCTGCATGCACAAGCCACTTTATTAGGTACACCGAGCGGTATTGTTGAAGAAAACATTTGGTAGCGCGCAACATCGTAAAACACCGATCCCTGATCAAGAAGGTACACACTGTACATGTCTCCTTCAAGTTAGCCACTGAACATTTAAAAGGTTTACATGCTATTTGAAATTCACTCGACTGTCGTGGTTGCTGTTGGGATGTACCAAAATGGCCGAAACCATAAGAACAGTGGACAGTTCGTTTCTGAAGTAAGCTAACTTAAAAACTCAGGAAGGGGTCGAATGCTGTTTCGCCCTCACCTACGCATAAAGACAGACACTCACAAAGGTTTGGCAGTTTTGTATTCTTCAGTGTCAGAGTCTTCGTCTGGCGAGTACTCGGTCTCTCCCCTCCCCCCTCCCAGCAGCCCTCGTGCCATCAGGAGTCCCGCCGCGTTCCCGTAACCGGTGTACTTCAACAGGTTGTCCACTAAATAACACAAACACATACGACATGTGGTGTGAATAGAGCGATTCCATTTGGATTCGTACAGTAACGAAATGGAATTTCAAATTTCAAGTTTGAAATATTAAACGGTTAGCAAGTCTCCCCTTCCAACTCATTTAGTTGCAGCCCCCCCCAACCAGTCTTACTGATTGACATGAAATTGCGTGCATGTCTACAATGACGGTTTTATGTTCATTTCGAGGCTTTGGAAAATTGTTTGGGGTAAAAAAAAAAAAAAATCCAATCGCCCCCGACAACTTTCACCTTCACCAATTAAAATGAAATCGGGTCAATATGTCTATTTTAAACAGATGAGAAAAAAAAAGCCTCACAGACTAGAGGCACAATATTGAACAGCAAAGACCGTAAGCTGGTTTACTCGAGAGACGGGCACCACATGGATGTTTCCGCCCATGGCCTGAAAAGCCCGCACTCGCCCTCCCTCCTTACCGCTCTCTTTACACAAAACAAAGAGAAACTCTGCGGCCGCCTGCTTGACAGCCATCTCCACGTGCGTCATCAGGCGCACCAGTTTGTTCCTAGTGGTGGTTCCCACCTCCGGCCTGATCTTCACGTCTGTGAGCGGAGGAAGCACCTACGCGATGGACCAAAGAGATTTTTTTATTTTTTAAATGTCAAAAGAAGATATTTGCTGATGGCGTTTGGGGGCTAGGGGGTTGCCGTACCTGAGCTTTGATATATCTGCGGATCTCTCTGTGGTGTCTGGACCCTTCGGTCAGCAGGCTGAGCACAGGAGTGAGACCCTCTTTGTAGTTGGAGCCCTGACGCATACGCATCATGAACACTCAAAGAATCTCCATCAACACCCGGTCATAGAAAAGTAGAACTACGAGTGTGGCACTTGTAAGTCAAGCTACCATTGTGTTTTATTCATTCGCGACCACCACTTTTAAAAATCATTCAATGTGCTACTCGTGTATCCAACATCATGCGCTGCTAACTTGTACCTTGTCGATCCGTTTCTCCATGAAGTCCAGTAACACCTGGATGGCGTCCATGTTTTTGCCGCCATATTCCTCCAGGCCTCCCCGTATGGGGAGGTCGATTAACACATCCAGGCAGGACACGGGCAGGTTGTTCAGCAGGTTGACGGCGTGGCTGTGGGTTACAAAGAAAATTCGGTCACGCTCCAGCAAAGACTTTTTGGGGGGGGAAATGGAGGCACGCAAGGTCACAGGTTTATCAACACCAAAAAGTCCTCTAGGGCTGTTTGCGTTTCCCTGGTTGCAAACCATCAGTAAATTTGGCTATGTTAAAAATCAGGATGCGTGTACCCTGCTTAAGTCAGTGTTTTTCTATTGGCGGCACCTGAGCTCCAAAGACATGAGCTTGTTATGCAGTTGCTTCCCCGCGGGCAGCCGCTAAGCTCCGAAAGCCGAGATCAGCTGAGGGTTTATTCCACGGCATCACTTTGTAGAATATATTAGATCAGATAGAAAATGACTTAACTGCTGTCAGAAGCCATGACATACACAATCTTTTTTCTGTCTTCCAAGAAATCGTAGCAATTTATTCCCAACAGTCTATTGTCTTCATTTAGTCACGTTTCTCGAGGCTGCACGGCTTCCAGTACATGACGACGTTAATTTTTTTCTTTTTTTCTTGTACGATCAGATTTCAGGCTCTATGTGCAGCCGTATCAAAGTCAAATTCATCTGCCCAGGGCCTTCAGAATTAGTAGTGCTGGCCGATGTAAGTGAAACTTTATTAACAATGCGACCATTTCTTTAACCGATTGGTTTCGTCCACACATGGCAAGAGTCGGTTTTGACCACACGTTGCAAGAGTGCTGGCCCTTTATGATGTCAGCAACTCCGATTGGCTGGTCGGAAGCAAAACATGTCGGTAGTGAGCTTGTGTAAGGTCATTTCATGAAATGTTTTACATCTTTGTCATGTTTACATTCACTAAATCAAGTCAACTTTATTGTCAAATGTGCTCTAGCACAGATTCTTCTCTTTCGACGAATGTCGTGGCCATAAAATGCTGAAAACAATCCACATCAGGTCCACACCTAACAACAAACAACACCATTTGATAAAACAAAACACAAAAACAAAAAAAGGCAAGGCTCTTGAAGAGCTCTTGCCGACAGCTGCCTAGTCGGGCAGGTGGATTAAGTACGCTCAGTCCCTACTGACGCACCAGGTACTGAAAAAGCACAGCCCACCACTGGTATGACATCATCTTGGCTCAGTGTGCTGCGTGCCTACTTTAAGGTGCGACAGTGAACGGCTCAGGTGTTGTGAGTCTTTCAATGCCTTGTATGCACTGCCTATCAGCTAATTGCATGACGCGGACACAGACAGCAAAGCAACAATGAATGAGAAGCTCAAGTTCCCCACCTGTGTGCTTCTTCTGTTTTCTCCTCCGTCTCGGTCCTTAACATCAGCACATGGCGCAGGATGGCAGCAATGACTCTGTACTGATGCTCATCCTCCTTTAAAAAATAAAATAAAATAAAAATTTTAAGTGTGCTGGTCAAACAATTATTTCATGTGCACAAAGATGAATCTACTTGACCTGGGGCCATGAGACGTAGTCACCAAAAGACCACAATGCTGCCATCTTACTTTTTTTTTTTTTTTTTTTTTTTTTTTTTTTTTTAAATTGTTATCCATTTACGGCCGATTGTGACATTAACACTGATGTTCGAGTAGATGAGCGATAGACCACAGCACGAGCTGACGTTCGTATATCGTAAAAAAACGAATGGACCACATTGGTGTTTGCCTGGCGACCAGTCCGCGGCGTATTAACCTCTCGCGCAAAGTCAGCTGGGACAGACTGCAGCTGACCCGCGACCCAAATACTCGCCTTAAGCCCTGACAGCTTGGTTTCTAAAGTTGTCACCTGTTTAAGGATCACCTTGTAAAAATGTGTGATGCTACTGAAGAAATCTTGTGGTCATATTCAATCAGGCCAAGCTTTTTGATGAACACGTTAAAACTGGAACGTGGTGCCGGATTTTTCCACCTCAAAATATTTTGAAAGCAGTACATTTTTAAAAGAAAGGTCTCCTCTCGGGGTGATTCTTACAATTGTGTCCCCACACAGCTTCATTCAGAATGCCAATTTGGCTGAGCCTGTGGGATCTAAACAAAAGCCTAACAGCCACATCTGCTATCTCCTGTTTATGTTACGATTAAACAGAACATTTGAACAGTCACTTCCAAGACTGGGCGGACACGGTGGCTTTTCATTGCCTCATTAGGTCACGACAGTCTAATGATGGCCTTTTACGTCATGTCCTCGAACAACATATTCCAAACTAAAAGTGAAAGTGCCTTGGGTTGGGTTGGGTTGGGTTGGGAACTAAGAGCTCCCTCTCAGTGATTATTTTTAAAAAGCAATAAAAACAAATTTGTTTAGGCAGACATTCCAGTAAGACGGTGTTGATTTTTCATTTTGATTTAATTAACTTGAAATGATTGACTTGAGTCTTCAAAGCCTTTCCGTGACTCTTCAATTCATTTTAGGTTTCGGAGGGGGAATATTTTAGGTTCATCCTGAAATTTCACCGGAAAGCTGAATATCCCTCACTTTTTTTGTGAGTTGTGTATTTTAACCATATGAGGCATCCTGTGAGCACCCGATGTGAAAAATTATTGAGTGACCAATGAGGACAAGCACAATCGAAAATGGATGGATATGAGCCACACAACACTCTCACCTTTGCACCAGCATTGCACACAGTGAGGTTGAATAGGGCTTTGAGAGCTTCCATCGCTCTCTCGTTGTCCTCTTTGGGCAGGGGCAGGGCCTGGGGGTCAGGCCGGGCAGCCTCGTAAGTGCCGTCCCACCTCACATCCAGGGTGTGCTCGAGCACCTCGGCCAGGAGCTTCACCACCTGCCTTTCCCTCCTCAGCTCCACCCGCAGATCCGAGCGCAGCGCCGACAGCAGGAAGAGGAGGCGCAGCGTGAACAGGCCCACCTCGTGGTGCCACGCGGCGGCCGTGTGCAGGCTGGCGCACAGGCCGTGGGCCAGCTTCACGTCCACGCTCACCTGCTGAGCCGCCGCGCTGTTGTACACCACGTTGCACAGGCACTTCAGGGCCTCCACCACCACCACCCTCTCCTCCTCGGCCACCGGCGCGCTCGGCTGCGGGGGCTCCTGGCCGTCGCCCGCCGTCTCCCCGGTGCCCAACTGGGCCATCCTGGCCAGAGTCAGCATGCCGTCCCGGGTGGCGACTGGTGCCAGGACGCATTTGTCCCGGGAAAGGATGCGCAGGGTCTCCAGACAGGTCTTCTGACAGCTGGGCTGCACTTGCATCCCGAGCACTATCAGCACACTTTGGCACAGCTTCTGAAATTGCACCAGACTCATATTGGCAATGCGGGATTAGACCACAGATGTTAATAATAATTCGACTGCAATTTTGTTCCCTCAATAATGCACTTGAGATTAATATGCGATTATTTTTTTCAAGGTCCTCTTCCCATGTATTTTGGTTTTACAGGCTAGTCTCATGCAAACAAATGTAGACTAAATCAACAACATAAAGGCCAATGAACCATGAATTACAAAGAAATACTTTAATTACAGCTAAATTACAAAAAACACTTGGGAGGTGCAGTCTTTGATGTGCTCACTACAACAACTACACAAAACTCTTACAAGTGTAGCGTAAACATAAAATAGTAAATCAGATTACAACTACAATCCAAACACATCTGTGTTTTTAATCACTTCAAATTTTGATGTTTCATGAAAAAATATGTGAACATGGGCACTGAAATTCTTAAGCACTAAACTTATCTTGACACAATCTAAATAAAATAATCATACAGAATAAAGCTAACTGATAGAAATGAAGCTGTTCTCCCCAAAATAGCAACCTCAGTGATTATTGTATTTCAATAAATTAATCTTAAAAAGGTTTGACAACCCATCAACAGTATCCCAGGACGGTGAACTAATAATGATTAGCTAGTCTTCTTAAGAGCCCTGTAGGGTTCGAATCTCGGCTCTGGATCTAGAGTTTGTATTGCCTGTGCTTGAGAGTGTTTTATGTGCCTTCCTCCCACATTCCAAAAACATGCATGACAAGTTAATTGTGGACGCGAACACTTATATGTCTATAAATTGCCCTGACGACCTGTCTGTTGTGTAGCACCAAGTCAGCTCAAGTTTTATTGAGGACTCTATAAGTCTAAGTCTGAATATGAAAGCGCATAAATTCTTGTTGGTCTATATGTTGCCCTGCCACTGACTTGCGATCAGATCAGTCCATGGTGCATCCGCGCCTGTCTCTCCCAAAGTCAGCTGGAATGGGCTCCAATTCACCGGCCACCCTAATCAGGGCGAGCGCTCAAATGATGGATGCTACACAATGATGGTGTTTGCTTACACTGCGCAGTGTTTCCTCCTTCTGGTCAAAAGTGAAGGTGTGGCTGTTCTGAAAAAGAGAAAAGCTCATTGTTAGGCAATTAACATACCAACGGTACAACGGAAGGGAACGCTGAAACCACTTTTAATGTAACTTAATGACTGCATAAACTGCCTAAGTACGTTGTTTATCATAACGACTGTGTGTACAGTATTTACACGAGGACGTACATTTTGGTAGCACCGGAACAAAATAGACATTAAAAATCAAAAGGCTCTACTTTTGTCTTTTGGAGGCTTATGGGGATAACTTGCTTACTTAGAAGCAATCCGCTTTATTAGCAAAGCTGCTAACTGACGCTCGAGCTACGTTTGTTTTTAACGTACGTAAATAAAAATAATATGAGCACAATTTACCTCTCGATTAAACTCCTTGAGAAGCTCCTCAATGTCCACCTCGTTAGCACTTTCGAGCTGCGACAACACATTTTCCAAATCCATGACGTCTGTCAGAGAAACACAACACGGCTTGCTTGTGTCTGTTTTAAACTGCTGGCTATCGAGCTAGCTGTCTGGCTAGCTTGATGCGTTTAAGTGTTGGTTCGCCAGTACGGAAATTCCGCCACCGTTTTCGGTCTGGGCGGCTTGTCGCGCTCTTCCGCGGTGTGTGTTAAGACCGCTTCCAGTTTGAAAACGGTATTCCAATAGTTCGTAATAATTTACTTCAAATAATCAAATGAACTCGTAAAATGTTTCTTTTATATTTTTATTGGGCATATCATAGTCAATTAAAGTAATTAATTTACTTAATTTTACTGAATTTAATAACGTTCAAATAATCAACGTAATCAGAGGGAATTAAAAAGATGAACCCGTCTGTCTAATTTCGAAAAAAATGTGTGTATATATATATATATATATATATATATATATATATATATGTGTGTGTGTGTACAACATTAATTTATTTATTTGTAAAACAATTTATGAGATGAAAGCAAATTAGATACATACAATACTGTACATTTAAATTAATTGCAACAGATTAAACTATCGTTACATCATAGCCCACATACAGTAATTGTTAACTTAATGTAACAATGTCATGAACATGCTTGCTCATTTGTTTTTAGTTTTATCATCATTTAATCATTCATTTTTCTAATTTTATTTTCTTTTGTCTACGTTTTTTGTTTGATGTTACATTTAGCACTTTGCTGCAAGTGCTCAAAAAATAAAGTTGAATTGAGTTGTTTTGGAATACGTTCAAATTTGACTTTGGCATCTACGATATGAGGCAAATATACTGCCGGGGTCACCAACATGATGCCCATGGGCACCTGGTAGGCCCCACAGACCACATAAATAGCCCTTGAGTCTGCTGTAGAAATACCTCTCAGTGAATGGACATTGTGATTCTCTAGGAAGAAGTTATCATTTAAAATGTGAACGCTGAGAGAGATTTGTAAAGATAGTGTTCTTGTTGATAATTATTTGCTAATTATTGTCACAAATCATGAACATGCTCAATGTTTTGTTATGAATAAATATGAATTATTAATGAAAACTTATAATAATATTGTAAAGGTAATTTGAGCAAATTTATTTTAGAAATCAAACTGGTAGCCCCTTCGCATTCAACCAGTGCCCAAAAACAGCTCAGATTTTCAGAAAGGTTGTTGATCCCTAATATACTGTGTATTGTAATCTACAATTGTATGGTAAAATATTGTCAATCATGCAAAGAAAAATAAGACGAAAGCATGTCAGCAATTTTCCATAACAGAATCCTTTATGTGGCAACATTCTCCCTTTCAACTGCAATCCTCCGACATTCACCCCAGATGCGTTTCCAGTGCTTGCATTGAACAATGTTACTGTACATTTTAATAATTTCCCTTCTTCTGTTTTTGTCTTTTTATAAATACCCATAGGGTAATAGGTCCTCAGTAGTGTTTCAGTGCATTATAAAAACACACAACCCAAGGTTAATGTACTAATCAATTTTACAAAACAGAACAGAGTACCATAGAAAGCAAAAGATACACCATGTTACATAGTTACAGAAAATACATAGCATATTATATATATATATATATATATATATATATACGAATGTGTCACACAGAAAGAGCCACACGTACACAACATTTTGAGCCTCAGATGTGGATGGTCGGGAGTTGCTTTCTGTGATGTTTTGGGCTCTTTTCTTGGGAGAAGGTTAAGGCAGTGCTTCTGCACATCGACTTCAGAGCTTTGCACCGACCCCTCAGATCATTTTAGGCATCGCAGCCGAACTGGCAGAGGCGTACATTCCTGAAAACAAAGGCACAGCTTGGCGGCAGCGTGGCATGATTCTGCTGCAGTTTTTTTTTTTTTTATGAAGGTAATACTGTACAGTGTGGTGAAAAACTATTTGCCCCTTTTCTGATTTTAAAAAAAAGGCATATTTATCATACAATCAAGCCAATTTTAAGATCTCACAATGACAACTGAAGTAAATAGAAATTGCAGTTTTTCATTGATTTTCATTAAATACGGAGGAGACAAAAATCTTAATGTGGCCCTATGTGAAAAAAAGAACAAAAACCTTGTTTGTAAGTGTTGCTGCCACGTGAGTTGACGTAGCAGTCGATTGAAGGTTATCATGTATGCAAACACTGCAAGTGAGATTGAGAACAGACGCTAAGGAATATTTTAAAAAGTCTTAAGATGTTAAAATGTGTTTAAAGCTCATGGTAGGGAAAAAAATTCAAAGAAATTCAACATCAAAGCGGTAATATTTTGTTTTTGGCGATACTTCATCACGAGAAGGGCACATGAGCATCGGAGCTATGTTGGTGTGCTGCCCCGCATACACGTTAGGGAGCTGGGGGCATTTCTGTGGGCAGAAAGGCCCAGGGGAGGAGTGGGGAAAAGTTTTGTGCATGTGTGCGTGTGTGTGTGTGTGTGTGTGTGTGTGAAAGGTGAGGCTACATTCAAATCTTGCACAAAGCTTCGAGACTGTAAACACCACCTTTAAGTGTGATGAATAAACCCCAAAAAAAACCCTTTGAACGCCGGAAGGGGGCAGATATTTTTTCATGAAACTGTACATGATTTCCCAGATTTCTAGGGATGGATGGACAAAGAAAAAGGGTCGGAAGTGTAGAAACGCCGCCGCACTAATCCCATACATGATTGACATATTGTCCTGTCAGTGTCCTCACACCTTGACTGAACAATGGGTGTCCTTTACAGTTCAAAGTGTTCATGAAGGCTACTTGGCCCAGCCGGTGGCGGTGGCCTCTCCGTTGATGTAGGCGAAGCCAGGGAAATGCTGCGAGTGCTCGTACTCGGAGTTCCTGCGCGGGACCAGGGGTGAGTACACGTCCCCCGACGTGGCGTAGCGCGCCGAGTGCACAGGCGGGCTACCGTAGCAGCCGTTGACTGAGGACATATCCGGCCAGCGGGGGGTCACAGGCGCAGGGTGCAGTCGGGGAGTGCTACTCATCAGACACGGATCCATGCGGGACATCTGACCGTTGAATTGGTACTTTAGGGAAAAAGGACAAGACACTTTATAATGAAGGGCTGCTGTGACGTGTCCTGCCCAGTTGATGCACGGGGTGAGCACATGAATATCATGCCCCCTATTTTTTTTCTTGTTTTGAAGTGATACAATGGGTTTTATCTTTATTAAACACTTTTACCTAAAAATTGTGGTGTTTTTTAATAATAGGAACAAAGCAAAGCATAACCTAGCTTGGCATCTCTTAGCTTAGCCTTAAAAAGGAAAAAAACGAGGCTCGGTTTCTTGTGATCTAGATTGATCTGGATGATAAAAATGTAAAATGTCATTTTGATGATAATTTATGTCTAGCTTCTTTTTCAACGCGTGGCCGTTGCTTTAATGTACAATTCAGTGGCTCTAAATTTCTTATTTTGGTCATTATAGTAGTACTTGTCTAAGAGAATATCACATTGAGCAAGTTTGTCAAATCAAACAGCATTTGAAAATTGGGCTTCTCCCTGCGTTGCTATAGCGACAGATGCCAAACAGCACGGACTGTGCAAGCTGCGGCTGACTACCATATTTCGGACATTAGACAAAGTCCAACCTCTCCCAGGGGACAAAGCAGCTGCATTGTGCCCAATTTAAGCCCAAAAGCGTCTTAATAAAGAGGAAGTACGTGTTCACGTTAACATATAAACACCACAGACAGTTCATTATAAGCGGTCGCCGCACGGAAAAAGACAGTCAGCGCGGGGGAGTCAAAGGGCAGAGCGGGGGGGGGCTCACAGCTGAAAAGAGAGCATTGAATAACAATATTTTAGTAATACACGCATGATGATGAAACACCGACAGCTGCTTCCGCTGTGCAGAGAGCAACATTGTGGGACTTTGAGGAAGGCCCTCTTGGAAAGTTAAAAAAAAAAAAAAATGGAGCCCCCAACAACAGTTCTAGGGATCAACACGAAATCGGATGGACGTGTCTATCTATGTGAGGACACATGTAAACTTTTGAAGGACCCATGCCCAACAGCAATCAGTTAATGTTTTAAAAATTATTCTCTCAACAAATGAATTGCCATTCAGTCTGAGCGTGAGACTGACCTGTGCGGATGAGCGGTGGTAGGCGGAGTAGTGGAGCGGTGCCGGGATGGTGGCGTCGTGGCTCAGCCCTGGGTACTGGCTCTGGATGGCGTGAGGATGCTGGTTGGCATAGCTGCCATAGTTGTAGCTGCCCGTGTATCTGAAAACGCAGGGATGCATTTTCAACACGCTCATCGAGAAGTGTGAAAAGAGGATGGAGATTTTCTTCTATAATTGCCCAGCTCAACGACTGATACGGTGCCGCTGCCATTTTTGTAGTGATGTTCGAATGTGTCGCGAGTATAACTATATCATCCCCTATTCAGCACCCTCAATGTCCCAATGCAACTTGAAAAGTAGTGAAAAACCCATTAAGCACCTGAAAAGAAAAATTTCCCACATTGCACTGATGAAGAAATTAATTAACACTCAGGGTTGGAGTGGGATTGGCTTATTTTATTTGCTCCATTTTATTTTAATTCCATTTAAGTGGTGCCATATATGAAGCTTACTTTTTGGCTCGCAAAATAAAACCACAAAGGTAAAGCGAGAACTTGTAAGTTAAAAAACATAAACTGAGCCTCTGGTAAACCAGGGTACCATTATGTAGTGATTGGATAGTAGGAAATGAGGGAATGATTTCAAACACAGCCTGAGATTATTACCCATGCTCCTCTCTGTGGGCGTAGACAGGCAGCCGATGGGCGGAGGAGGGCGGCGGTGGCGTCGTGCCGGCGGCGCTGCTGCTTCTCATGCAGGACAGCTGCTGGCCGGCGTCGGGTGCGCAACCTCCTGCCGTTGTCACTGTGTATGTAAGGGACCACGTATATGACTGAACGGCGCCTGCCAGACACATACACAGACGTGGCAAAAGTACTCACACTCTGAACTTAAGTAGAAGTACAGATACTTGCGTAGCAAAATGATGTTTTACCTCCTGTACTTAAGTAACAGTAAAACAAAAAAAAGCACAGACTCTGAAATGAACTTAAGTACATAAGTAAAAAAGGAATTTGATAACAGACTTGGATAACTTGGCACAATGGGGAAAAAAAAACGTTTGGCCTCTCTGACCTGTGCTGGACGGGTACTCAGGCGACGTGTCGGCTGCGGGCGAGGACGATGACACGGCGGCGGAGTGGACGGAGCGGGCGGGCGAGTAGGCACCCGGGGACGGCGAGGAGGTGGCGGTTATTTCGGTCAGCGTGAACCCTTCGTCTTGCTCTGTGGGAGAGTATGAATATGGATGCTCACTGTCTTACTGTAATCTATTACACGCCTATTATAAGACAAAATCTCCAAAATCACATGGTTGTCCATTCCCACAAAGCGGCAATAGGGACTAAAAACATTCATATGAGCCATGAAGTGAAAACATAAAAAAATATCAAGGGGTACATTACAAAGGAAAAAATAAGTACAGAAAATATTGAAAAAAATCTGAGTGGATGTATCATTAAAAGAAAAAAAATGGTCAAGAAAACTGAAAAAAAATAGGAGTAAAGATACATTTCCTGAATAAATCTACAAAGAAAATGTGTGGGTGGTACATAATAGAAAGATATGAAAAGAAAAAGAAACAAATACATGAAGGGAAAAGAAATAAGATTTTAAAATTTGAGGAGAATATTAAAGAAAAATACAGAGGGAAATAATAAAGAAAAAATATGACTGGCAAACAAAAAACAATTTTAATAATGAAAAATATTACATTAAAAATCTGTGATTGTATAGTACAAAAAAAAGAAAAATGAGGGGAAAACAACAGTACAATACACCCCCCCAAAAAACTAGAAGTAAATGGAAAAAGAAAAAAATCTGACTGGGGGGAAAAGGCAAATATATATATATATTTTTTTTTTTGAAAATCTGAAAAAAATTAAGCATGAGAGAAAATAGTCAGGAAAACATGTTCAATATTCGCATAAAATAGTAAAGGAAAAAAAATTTCCATCACAAAATCATGCAAGGGTGGTGGTTCTTATCACTTTCAGGGTTGCATCGTCGTCCTTACCTGTGCCGCCTTCGCCTTTCATGGCCCTCATGAGGTCATTGGCCCTCTCCTGGCAGTGTAGCGACTCCAGCAGGTATAGGACGTAGTCGTCAAACATGAGATGGATCAGGTGGAAGGAGCCTGTGAGACAAGTGCACGTTGTTGCCACCACAGCCTTTCCATATGCCCCCCGCACTATGACATCATAGGGAAAGTAACTCCTGGAGTTCACAATCACTCCTAATGTAGACAGTGACCCATGCGACATTTTGGATTATCGATATTTATATTGCTAATTTACTACATTATATCCCGTAGGGATATAATGTTTAGGGGGGAGGAAATGATTTTGAACCCTGCCCTGATTTTTCCATAATCCGGGTCAGTGCCAGAAATAGGTCCTGCTGACCTCCGGGTGACGGTGGGTGGGTGTGAGCACCACAATGGTGTCATTGTGCATGCGTGACTGCATGATAAACACTTGCTGACTATTCAAAGGAGTCCGGGGCAATCCTGAGCTGTCATAAAATAGAAACACATTGGTAAACACATCGGGGGAGGCGGCGATCTGTGTGTGTGTGGTGGTTTGGGGGGTTGTCACGTTTGTTAATTAGCTGTTTGTGCACATAAAGCTGCTTTACGGAAACATGGCAGCCAGCTGTGTCTTTGATATTCAAATGTCCAGTCAAAGGACTGCCAGGGAAGGAGAGGTCACTTTCCTTATTCATTTTATGGCACCTCAATTACCCAGGCCACACCCACTTCACCTGCAGACCAATTATCCTCATTGCCAGTGGTGGAAATAATAACAGATAGCTGCACTTCCTTTGCTTTAAATATTTCACAATTAAAAACATATATTTTGCATAAAAAGGTAGTAGCGGCCCGGTGGACCAGTAGTTTAGCACGTTGTTTGATGTGTATGCAGCAGTATTATTTATTTATTTATATATTTATTTGCTCACTTCATCTGAAAACAGCCCTTTCTACTCCTGAAGTGCTAATTTGACTTTTACCTAAAATATTCTGGACTTTTACTTAAGCACATAAGTACAGAGTGCGACTACTGTGCTGCTTCGTCTTGTGGCTAGGGAGCCAAAGGATCGGCAGCCGTAATGACAGCTCACCAAAGCTGGGGGCGCTGTGGAGCGTCATATCACGAATGACTCTGGTCCCAAAGCAGGACCACATCAACAGGAACTGTTGGGCCATCTTCTTCAGGCAGCCGGGCCTCTTCCCAGACACCTAGAAAGAGAGGGAGACCATTTCCATGAGAAAAGGTGGGGAGGCTGAGGATGCCGGCATTAACCCCTCAGCCTGTGTTTGGGGGCTTAACCCTCCGGGACCAGAAAACATGTCAACAAGTCAACTATTTAATTTGCCCCCAGGGACACGCCTTCCTATTGAACCATTGTGTGGCCGGGCCGAGGCGTTGCCCAGGCGACCGCATTTTACAAGGCCATATCGGGCATATAATGGGCGCAAATGGGAAGCTTGTAGGCATCATTAACTGGGAGGATTGCTGTGTGAGTGAGGGACCAGCAAGCTCAGAGCTGCAGGTGTCTTTTTACAGGCCCAGAGGCTTTGCAAAGACTTTATTTTTATTTATTTTATTTTTTGCATCACGTGTAGACGCAATGACGTATATGAAGCTGTCCAGTTGGCGGGCCATGCGGTGAACGTTCGCGGTGGTGCTTCACAATGAGAAAGTTCCACTTTTGTATCAGTTTTTTTTTTTTTCCAAAAGTTGTCTAAGCCTGCTTCTCAAACAGAACATCATTTTTAGCTGCCTTCTTGTGTGGTTGACAGGTGACCAATCCCATTTTACACGGCGCAATATTCCAGAGCTCAACTCACCTCAGTTCTACTCCACTCCGCTATGGAAAACTGTAAAAAAACACGACACATTGAACGCATCATTCGGAACGAGGTTCTCCACTTTTATTTTGCAGTCAAGAGAGAAATTACAGCAATTATTTCTATTTTTTTTTTCAATATAATGCTACAAGATTGGCACACCCAGTTTCGCCCTTTAGTTTTTGCAGCAACTCTCAAGCTTCCCTCTTCTTGTTATCGAGTGATCTTTTTCTTACATTTTTACCTTGATTTGACTGTACGGTGTCTTTAGAGATGGTTTGCGAAAACAAGATGCATTTGAGCTCAATTTCAAACTCTAGGCAAAGGCTGTGAATATCGGGTATGTGTGATTTGTTTTTTTCTCTTTTCCAATTAATTTTCAGATATCTCATTGGTGAAGCTGGAATCATGGCGGTGTTGTGTGTAGAATTTGAAGGTAAAAATAACATTGATGAGTTTTGGAAAAAGTTGTCAAATAAGTACTGTAAATGTAAAAAATGTGAAACCCATTGCATACTTTCCAGATGCTCCATAAGTAAGGCTGGGCTAAGCAATACAGTGTACATCACTTGTCTCCTATGGGGGGGTTATATAGTCTAGGGAAGGTGTGTAAAGTTCCTGGACTGGTGTTACAAAAGATGTGTTTCAAATCCAAACTACAAACAAAGTTTTAACCTTCGAAGTAATCCTCCTGGAGTCTAACGCATTTTCCCAGCATTTTCTGCCACGCCTTCATGCACTCCTGGAATGAATCTTCCAGAATCTCATCACGACCATCTTGATATGGTCCAAGTCTTCAAATCTGATTCATTTGATGACTCTCTTAAGTTTGGAAAAGAGGAAAAAAAATCGAATTGAAGCAGGTTGGTCATGTAAGGATGATGCTCTTCTCAGACAGGAACTGTCAGATGCTCAGGTGCTCATTTGTCAGCAGGTGTGATGTCATGGTGAAGCAGCCACAAGTCGTCCTGCCACAACTCTCACGTCTTCTCGCTCACTGAGTGAATCAAACGTCACAGGATCTTTTTGTAGACGTGCTGGTTGACCAGGTCCACATTAGAATGAAAATGTTTTAGTTTGTAGCTTGAGTTTGAAATATTGTCTTTTGTGACACCCGACCTGGAACACACCTCCTATTTACTATGTATTGCATGTGGGAAAAGAGCTGATGCACTTTGCAGCCATTTAGTGAATCTGTCTCTCACACACACACACACATGCACACGCACTCGCACAAAATGGATAGCTGTGTTACCTTGATGACACAGCGATCCACCATGGAATCGAGCCACTCAATGTAGGCCTCAATGGGCGATTGCTCCTCCAAGAGACGATCAAACTCCTGGTACACTGAGACAGAAGGACAGCTGGTGGTGATTTATTGTTTATTATAAATTAATTTAGACTTCTTACAGGCGGCATGGTGTCACAGTTTGGTCCGTTTTATTTATTATGGATGGAGGTTAATGAGAGATGAAAGCAAACTTTTTTTACACTATTTTTTAAACTATTTTTTTTTAATCTATCCCAAATCTGCCCAATTATTTTTTCTAGCACATCACATTTCAATAACAATAATAATAATAATAATAATAATCGTCATCATCATCATCATATTTAGTAAGATTTATGAATTACCGGTAAAGGTTAAGTTCAGCAACAGGTAGAATTGTATTCTGAAACATCGTAGCTATAAATATCAACACAGGGTAAAAGCCGTACTCTGCAAGTTTTTATAAACTTAAAACTAAAAAAATCTCTAAAAAAATCTGAGCTGCTCAAAAAAATGTGTAGACATTGTTTTTAATCAATATCAAAAATATGTTTGATTAAAATCTGCTGTTGATCAGTGTTCTCGACCGATTGAAAGTGTTGAAAATGGCTTGCACTGTACTTACAGTGGATGATGAGCTGCCGATGCTCCTCCTGCGAGTCCTCCATGGTGTACAGCGTCTGCTTGGTGATGCTGTTCAGGTCCACATTCCTCCAGTCCTCCAACATTTGGAAGGTGATGTCGGCGCTATTTATCACAGTGCGCGATGCCTGCGGATAGCCACACGGACGCTATCGGTATCAGCACATATCGTTATCTGAGAGGCAGTGTTGTGTTTGTTCCTAAGGATTTTATTAAAAAAGGGTCTCAGGCACCAGTACGAACCTGACACAGATGGTTTAGGGACGTTTGCCGCTTGAGGATTTGCGAGAATCTCCTAGACACTGAATAGATAACAAGCGAATAAATAAAGGGGAGTTTGACATATTTCCTTTTAAAAATACATATTAGGAGACTCCCATGACAATTCACTGGTGAGTTCAACCAAACAAAGATGTGGTAGAAACTCAGACATACTGTACCCATTGAGGGACTGACTGACTAATGACAGTATTTCAAGAGATAGCAGCAAATGAAATGCTTTAACTTTGATTCCGATAGATGTAACCTAAAGGCTAGCCCACTAGCTAACATTAATTGTCAATGAGCCTAGCCTAACACTGATCCAGGCAATTGCAAGGCACACAGAGTCGAACAACCAACCGCGCTCACACTCACACCTTGGGACAATTTAGAGTGTTCCATTAACCTGCCATGCATGTTTTGGGGATTTGGGAGGAAACCAGAGTGCCCGGAGTTAACCCACGCAGGCGCGGGGAGAATATGTGAACTCCACAAAGCGAGGCTCCGTTGATCGATAACCATAGGAATGTATAAGACACTTACACTCAAATTTGATGTTCCTCAGGTTCTCCGGGAGGTCGTGAAGGGCGATTTTGAGCCACTCTTCTAATTGTTTGGCAAATTTCCGGATCACCTGTGTCAAACTGTGTCAAGGAAAGACAGAAAAGGGAATTTAATTCATGAAAAAGCATCTCCGATTTTCTATGGAGGAACTCTGCATACAGGCTAGTGCCAGACACCGATGGGTAGCACGTCTGCAGAAATCAGACAATAATTACTGTTGGGGGGCAGCAATCAGAGGATTTGGACAAATTTTAGTTAAACAACGACTCTAAACAATTTATAAGTTTAAATAGGTGTGACAATCAATAAGTTGTTGATTAATCAATTAATTTTGACACCTCTAGTCAAACATTCTGTCTGCAATTCATATATTTAACGTTTACGTGTTATGAGGCCAAAAACAAAATTATTCTATTCATTCTATATTGTTTTTAGAATTAATCAGCCATTTTAACGGTTAATTTGGGAATTGGCATCGGCCTCAAAAAATGCATATTTGTCAGGCCCTAAAACTCTGTGGCGACCAGGCCAAGGTTTCGCCCACAGTTCACCCGCGACCTCAAGCGTTATTAAAAAAAAAAAAAAAAAAAGTGTGGATGCTTCGGATGAGTTTGTGCAAGTGTACCTAATGTTATGTCCAGTGGGTGTAAACAGCAGCAGTCTCCAGCTCACCTGTCAGGCAACGCTTGGAGGACGGTGGGCATCAGTACCCCGGAGATGGCCTTGTAGAGGATGGAGTCGCACACTCCGACGATGTTGACTACGGTGGGCGAGCTGAGCACGGGCAGCATGTGGGGCGGCATGCCTTGCCAGAAGTGCAGCAGGAAGCTTTGGACCTGCACACACACACGCACACGCGCACACGCACACGCACACACACACACACACACACACACACACACACACACACACACACACACACACACACACACGCATACACACAGTCATGTCCAACGTTGTTTTTGCAAGTGAAGCACTTTGATAAAAGCCTCACCTCGTCAAAGTTGGCCCGGATGACCGTGTCCAGTATCCTCTGGCAGTGTGTTCTGTACATCATGATGAAGGTTGACACCTGTGGGCGACAAGCGCAGTATTGATCGACCGAGGCGCAATGAAATGCGCCAGCAAAACAAGGAGATAAATCCCGCGCAAAGCATGGGAACAGTCGAATTGGCGTTACAGCACAGGAGCTATAAAGCAGGCTTTAGAGATCAGCAAAACAGTTCAAATGACCCCCCCCCCCCCATGTGTGTAAAAAGGCGGACAGCTAGTGCCAGGCCTTTGTCCGTGCCGAGATCTTATTATCTCCTCCGAAAGATTAAGAGTTAGCAAGGAGCCAGCGTATAAATCCTCCGGGTCTTTCTCCAGGGCCCGAGACAGCGGCGGCGGCGGGCGGGGGTCTCTTTCGCTAAGACCCATGCTATGTGCTTTTAAGTAAAAGTCCAGATTCTTGTGTGAAAGTACAAATACTCCTTTGTCAAAGTAAAACAAAGTGCAGACTCTGAATTGTACTTGTGTATCATAGTAACTGTGTATAAATGAATTTTTGGTGTCAGTTATAGACAGTACCTGTTTGGATAACTTGGCACGAAAGAAAAAGCATGACAGCACACAAACAGTGTGACTATTATTGTTTTGCGATGTTCATGAAACGGCTGACAAAACATTTAGCTAATGATGAAAGTGAAAACAACAAACCTGTATCCATTGTTTTTTTCAGATTCCAGTGTTTCCCCCCTTTCATTGTTCACATCCCTTCTATATTACATTTTTAGAGGGACCGTGTGTAAAAATGTGTTGATTTTTACACTGTTCAATATTTCATGAACCCACTATTAATTTCCATAATATGCCCGCCCCCAAAAAAGCTCATTCCCACACTCACACGCAAACTACAACATGCCCGTCTCTGCATGTACAGAGACGGTACAATATTTGCAGTATTTTTATGTATTTTATGCTTGTCATTTCCTTTGTAATGGCATATATAAAATTGTTTTAATTGTATTTTTATAAATCTTTCAACAATACTTGTTTTCTTTTTTTTGTTGTTGTCCATTACAAAAAAGCAAAAGAGATGATTGATTGGATTGATGTATGTACACTTTCGATCTTGATAAATCAGTCTTTCAAGTGTTTAAAGTTTGGGGGAGGAAGACTAGATAAAAAAAAAAAAAATCTGAAAAGTATGCCCTGCGATAAATGTGCTCTGATTCGTATTATGCCTTGCAAGTCCTCAAGATCTCAGTTAATCAATCAATCAAAATCTCAACTGTGTTTGACTTCACCTCTACTTTCACTTTTTTTTTTTTTTTACATTATGACATCAGGCATGGAAGTTATAAAAAGCAACAGGCCATTTTTGACAAGTACGTAGAAAAAAGTACGGAAAAGTCTTGAAATGGAGGCAGTAAATGTAAAATGTAGTCAGAAAAATAAATCGTAAAGATATGCCATTTTAAATACTAAGAACAGATACCTGAAAACTCTACTTAAGTAGAGTAACAAAGTATTTGTACTTGGTTATGTCCCACCATTGCTAAGGAAGGGCTTTAAAAAAGAAAAAGAACAAAAAAAAAAATAGAACAAATGGGTGTTTACCCGCTCCTCTGGCAAGCTGGCAGGCAAATGGAGGTCTTTGACATTTGGGAACTCTGGCAGCAGCGTCCCCAGCTTGGAGCGTGGTGAATACGCCACTGTCTGCTTGGTCACCTCCTTCTTGCCCGCCTCATTCACCCAGGCCGCGCCCTTCTTGGAGTACATCACGTCGTAGTACTGCGACGTCTCCTTCACTGCGATGCCATAGTAGTGGTACCTACACCCAATTGCATCACACTTACATACCTAGTTATCGACATACCTGAACATACGAGTTACGTCCATGGAGTTGTCAGGCTTGAATGGAACTTTAAATGTGCACCATTTGCCGCATATTATCATAATATTTTACCCTGAAGAACCGAGCTATAGAATGCTTCTGATTGTTTTATCATAAATTATATGTATATGTTAATATGTATGTACAGTAGCTCTCTCTCTCTCTCTCTCTCTCTCTCTCTCTCTCTCTCTCTCTCTCTCTCTCTCTCTCTCTCTCTCTCTCTATATATATATATCTCTCTCTCTCTCTCTCTCTCTATATATATATATATATATATATAGTAGAGGTGCAA